TATTTTACGTTTAATTTCGTACATTTTTTTAGGGGTGATGGATAAAATAGGGATGATGACATGCTAAGATAAAATGTCACGTACGTCACACAAATGGAAATTCAGAATTTTTTAAAATATTTCCTTGTAGAATTAAGAACTTAAAACTTGTATTCCATTAAAATATGGATTATTAGTTAATATTTTATGCTATTCTAATTGGTATAACATAAACAAAAAGTAGTTTAATAAAATTTTGAATGTTAGACACTAAAACCTTGTGTCATGCGCAGTAAAGGGTACCTGGGATGATACGGTTAAGGAGCTTCGTGTCAAGTGTACATGGACACTGAACATCTTCTGTGTCGTCTCTTCCACTTCTTTAGGAACAGATCAGTGTTCTATGCTGAAGATCTTTCGTGCCCTCATATGTTCTAAGCTGGACAATATGGTTCTGCCTTAATAATATTGGACCCTGTACATCATCTGGGGCTTTGGCTCTGCATAGGGACTTTCTGCTCTTCACCAGTCCAGAGTCTGTACATTAGTCCCATGAACCTCCTCTTTACCTCAGATGTTTGTAACTTTCCTTGCTTTATGCTACCAAGCTTAAATCCTTACCATGGCATCCCACCTGTCTTTCTTCCCTGGTAATCTATGCTCTTAAGGAATAGATAGTCTGCCATTCCTCTTTTTGGCCTTAGTATCCAGGCACAGCTGGCTGAATTGGGTCTATCATTTGATGACGTTGCCGAGTCCGTTGATCAGCCCATCCCGGCATGGCTCTTTACCATCTCCACCTGTGACCTTTCTTTGAGTCATCTGAGGAAGGCAGATACCTCCAATTGGAGGTACCTTTTTCCTTTGCCGAACATCTTTTGAACCATTCTTCTGTTCCCATTTTTATGGATGGTTTGAAATCAGGTGACTCTGTGGGCTCTGCCATGAATTGTTGTGGCTCGGTGGTTACTCACAGGATCTCCTCTACAGTATGTGTGTTCACTGCTGAGTTATATGCCATTTCACTTGCCTTGGATCACGTAGAAGCTAAGCAGTACAATAACTGTACTATATACACTGACTTTCTTAGCTCTCTACTGGTCCTTGAATTGCTTAATGTAAGTTCTCACTCTGTTCTCTTAGACATTCATAAACAACTGGACCAGTTTCCTCCTGTCATTCATTTTTATCCAGTTTTTCTGGATGCCTGGCTAAGTCCATCTGCTCCGGCATTGTCACAGATATGTCTGTCCCGTATATGGACTATGGTCCTATGATCAGGGCCTGACTTCATGCCAGTTGGCAGCTGATTTGGGGCAAGTAAAAACAAGCTTTTCCACATCAAACCTTTTGTTCTTTGGCCATCTAGTCCCATAAGGATCAAGGGGAGGAAGTTGTGTTGTGTAGGCTGTACATTGGTCACAGTTTTTTTGCTCATCATTTTCTTTTAGGTGGGACTGATCTGCCAGTGTTTGGCCTTTGTGACACTGAAGTCACATTGCCCATGTCATGCTTTCTTGTAATTGTTATGACTGGAAACAGGGACACCATTTTTGGCATGTTTTTTTTTCTCAGGGTTTACCACTGATGTTGGACAGTGTCATTAGCGATGATGATGCTTTTAGATTTTTGCGGACCATGGGCCTTTTTAATTCTTTTTATGTTTGTTACCTGATTTTCAGGCTTTAAGTTTTAACTTGATTTATTTTTACAATTTAAAATTTTAATTCTGGTCATTTTTACCAGTTATCTGGTGCAAATAACCCAGTTGTTTTGCACCAGAAAATGCCAATCAACCAACCAAAGAACTTACCTCATAACCACCAGAAAATGTGAAATAAATCTAAATTACCCTTTTCTTCTTTCTAAAATCACTTCATATTGTGACAGGAAAATACATTTGTTTATCTAAATAGCATAAAGCTCATAACATTATACATCTGTTTCTACTTAAATTTTATTGTTTTATAGCCCTTTGAACCATGTATATCTATTGATTCTGGCACACAAGTTGTTAATCACATGACAAACGTGTAGCTTATGTTACTCTATTAAATTACGTAATGCATGGGCTACTCGTGAGTGTACCTTGTGAACAATTATTATTGTTCTTTAATTTACCCATCTAACCTAAAAAGTTTCCAATTTTTTACATCTGAGTTACTTTTATAAATACACATGAAAAGCAAGAAATAAAGTAATCCTGGGTCTTTTTTTTTATTGCTGTTGACTGTCAGTGACACTTAATCCTACATTTCTATACTAATGATACTACTGCATTAAATATGTTTTTATTTAATTAGATAATGCTCTTAAGAAGGCAGATAATGTCCTATAACTTTCATAATTTTTCTGGCTTTCTAACTATGCAATAATAGCTTAGATAAATTCACCTAAGCTCATGAACGAGTTTCCCATGGGAATAAAGATTGAATCAGAAATAAATTGACAGTTCTCTTTACAGAAAACAATATAATACGTCATTTGATAGATTAATACTTTGGCCTTCTATTGCTTATATATAATATACTATTAAACATCAAATTGAACTATTGGCAATATGTAAAAAAAAACTACACAAGTGGGTGTGGCAAGAATGGTCTGATTTTCTTGCTTATAGCTCTGTAACTGAATACAATTGAAGGCTATAAAAACTATGCTTTGCCTGAGTAATGAATATATAATGATGAATAATTTGTTACATTCCATACTTCTCGGAGGGGTGGTAAATAAATTAGAAAAGAGGAAAGACCTAGAGAGCAAAGGTTACAATTCTCATAGGGGAGATTGAGGTTTTTTTTTGATATTTTCTTATATAATTAAGAACTTAAAACTTATATTAAAATCTGATTTATTAGCAACATTTTTTTGCCAGGTTTATATCTATACAATGATAATAAAGTAGTTTAATTTTGAATGTAACTCAGTAAAACCTTGTGATATATGCAGAGAAGAGTGTGTGTGTGTGGAAAGAGTTAAAGGATACACAGAAATGTGTCTTAATATACAGTTAATTTTTGTTCTTAATATCTATAGTGTATTTTATGTTAGACGTTTTTAAAGTTATATATTAGGTAATTGCAAACCCTATTTCCAGTTGTATTGTGCAATTTTTGAATTTTCTAAAATATGTTGATGTTTGTTATTGATTGATATTTGTTAAAGATATTTCAGAGTATAAAACCACATCAATAATTTCGTTCTACAGCTGAAGAAAAGCGGAAGGACAGACTGGCAGCAGCTGCCAGGGAAAGACTTGCTCAACAGTCTCGAGAAAGGCAGTTGCAACTTGAGCGTAAGAGGCGAGCTGCATTGTTTCTTACAATGTTGAACAAAACCAAATGCAATTCTCCACAGGAGATGTCAGAAGAGAAGCCAGATGTGGAAGATTCTAAGGGAGTACCTGAGCAAAAAGAAGTTGTTAGTGGTATGGAAGTTGAAGAATTTAATCTTGGACTCTCTCCTTTGACAACCATTATAACTTCACCTACAAGAGCAGGTGCCATTACCCCTGATACAAGGTGAGGTGGAAATTTTTTTTAATAGCACATTCAACTTTGAACTGACTATCTGTAATTTTTTAGAATTCTTAGAAAATCTTTTTTTTTAATAAAGAAAATACTGAAATGAATAGTGAGAAAGTTGGCAAAAAATACATTTCAGAGAAGACAAAAAAAAAATTATTATTGGGAAAAATTTTACATAAAGAGAAAGATATATAAATTTCCATCTGAAAACAGGTATTAAATATCAATATTGCTACTTCCAAAATTAGTCTCAATAGATAGTTTTACAAATGTTAAATATAAGATCTATATTCAAGGTTCATTCTTTGGTTTTGTTTCTATAAAACCATTGTTTAAATATGAATGTCATCATTTGAAAGATAGATTCATAGTTGGTAACATGGTTAACTGACAAATTTAGAGGATGGCCAAGAGGGACTCAAGTTTACTGAGTAAATGGCTGATAGTGGTTTGGTTATTCACATATTAGCAGTCAGTCAATCTTGTGTGACAGATCTTACAGTGATCTGGCTAAAAGACTGACAAATTTGTTGAGAGATATTTTTTTGTGACTTGGTTACCAAAGAGATTGATAAATCTAGTGAGAAGATAGCAGCTAATCATTCTCTTAACAGGCTAGTAGCTAATTGACTAATTTACTGAGAGAGATCTTTAAGTGGCTTGGTTAATAGACTGGCTGGCTGACCAAACTAATGAGGAAACATCTGTAAGTAATCTTGCTGGTAAACTATCGTACTGGCTAATTTGGTGATATAACAGCTTCCAATGGCTTAGCTGGCTAAGTGACTTGAGAGTACTTATCAGCAGCTTGGATGATAGGCCAAGTGACTTGACTGCATCTAGACATGATCTTTCCTCTTTTCATAGATAATCAACTGTTAAGACATTGTCAAGACTTATTAGGTACATTTTCTAGTTATAATTACAAAAATACTGAGAGATATCAAAAGATTAAGAAAAAGTTTGTTAGATTTGGGGATTTTTTTGCAGAATGTTTTTTCTTAAACTAGCTAACTTAAATTTAGATCACTGTACTGCTTTGGAAACAGTAATCAGTGTGCTTAATGTAATAAATTAATACATAAGAAAACTAAAATTTGTAATGATTAGACTGCATTATATAATCAGTTTGGTATCCTCATTTTTAATGATATTTCAGCTGTAATATCTCAGAATTTAGATTAGTGCTTAGTCCATTTACTAAGCCAACAATACAATTTAAGCTTCACAAATATAAAAACTAATTTAAACATTTGAATCTATAGTATTAATGAAACTAGCTACAAAGAAAAAGTGTCTTTACTTGCATGTTAGTTTCTTACCTGTGACAGAACTTTTTAGTACCATCAGTATCTGTAAATTTGGTGAGCTCATGTTGGTTATAAAAATGATTCATTGCGACAGTAGTTTTTTTCTTCCTTTTTTTGATCCATATTGCTGGCCAAAAATAGACAATGATTAACCTATTTTTAGCTTCAATGACTGTCAAACAAGTTTACAATTCTAGTTCAAAATTTAACTTTCATCTTGAAAGGCCTAGGTGTTTAAAATGCTTAGCATGATTTTTCTGTAGTTATGAATGTGATGAGTTATCAATTTCTACTAAATTGAATGAGAGACACTGGGGAGAAAGCAGCTAAAGTGTGTATTGGTAAGTACTAATAATACAACAAATGGTAGAAAAAATGACCATGGATAATTTACAATGAGGCATCTTTTTCTGCTCATGTTACAAGGTTTTAGTGAGTTACATTCAACATTTAATTCAACTGCTTTTTTTATCATGATATATAAATATATTTGGCATAAAAATGTAGCTGATAATCCAAATTTTAGTAGTACGTAAGTTTCAAGTTTTTAGTTTTATAAGGCAATATTAAAACAAAATCCTGAATTTCATTTTGTAGTAGAATTGAAATTTTCTCCCTTCTTCTCTAATTTATTTACCTCTCATCCAAGATGTACGAAGTTTAACATAAGTTACTCATTATAATGTCATCACTGCTCAGGCAAAGCCCACCTATCACATCCTCTCTTTCAGGATTTGTCAATGGTTCTCTCTTACGTTTAATACTATATTATGTATAACCAACTATATTATGTAAAGCCAAGATTTTAATCTATCAAATTATTTATTACATTGTTTTCTGTACAGAGAAGTGTCAATTTCACTTTCAGTTCAAGCTTTATTTCCAAGGGAAACACATCAATGAGCTGTATTTAATTTTTAATTGCTCTTGTCACCATGTTAGAAAGCCAGAAAAATTGTGATAGTAATGGAACATTGTCTGTTTTTTGCATGTTGTTATACTGTGTTCTTTGGTGTATTATTTAAATATAGAATTTAGTGCAGTACTACCATTAGTATAAAAAGTAGGGTTAAATGTCATCAACAGCAAAAAGAAAAGAAAAAGAAGACCCAGATAAGTTCTTTATTTCTTGTTTTTCATGTGTATTCTTTATTATTATAAAAGTAACTAAAATGGAAACTGTTTATATTAGAATAAGGTTAGATTAGGTAAAGTAAAGAATAATAATAATATGTCATGTAATTTGATAACGTAATGTGAGCTACATGTTCGCTAAGTGATTTACAACTTATGTTGCAAATATTAAACACGGTTCAAAGGGCAATAAAACAATAAAATGTAAGTATAAAAATATGTATACTGTTACAAGTTTAAAGCTATTTTGGATAAACAAATGTAGTTTCAAGTTATAATGGAAAGAAAAAGTTGTAATTTAGATCTATTTAAATTTTTTGTTGTTGTTATGAAGATGGTCAAATTGAACAACCTTGTATAGAGTTAGGGTGGAGAAAATAACAGATAAAATTAAAGTTTTACTGAAATAAAAACATTTTATATTTATTTAGGAGGTTTTATGCAAATGAAATTTGAGATTATTGAAACGAAAGAAATTATTTTTAATCTTAACATGAAAATCATTTTGCACTGGGACTAGTAAAAAAGACTCAATCTTTATTAAAAATACCTCATTAAAAAATTTGGTTTTTTGTATGCAAAAGACTTTTAATGTGTAATGAAGGTCTGCCAAATTTTGTAAAGATACGCTTACTGTATTAAGCTATAGTGTGAAAACTGTAATCAGTACTCTATTGTTATGAATTTGGTCAGTTTGACTGAGCCCTTAGCTAAAGAGTTAATTGAAGATAAAAAAGTGAATACGTTATGAAAGAATGCAAAATTGTACATGATATCAGAGATTTTCAGAATAGGTACTTCTTTTGACAAGTAATTTACAAAGTAAAAAAAATCTGTGAAAATTAATCCTTTACTTCTATTGATAAAGCAGACGTTAACATGATTCATGAAGTGGAAATCAAAATATTATAAGGAATATTTCAAGAAACAATAGTACCAAAGAAATCTTGAATTACTGATGTTTCAGGATTTTGGTTTTTAAATCCATCACATATATTGTGAAAAACTTAAACATAATTGACAATAAACAATATAAACATAAAAATACCATAAGTTATTTGTGAGAAGTTGTTAGTAAAGACAGAAGTTTATAAAAGCATATTGAAATAAACACTAGCCTTTATAAACTTGTTTTTGTTTTTCAAATGTACTTTCTCAAAATCTGCATTTTCAACCATAACACCTACTTTTGTTTTTACATATTGTATCAAAGTAGTTAATTTCTGATTAACATTATTCTATTTTAAGTTAACATACAAAAAGTAATGGGTTACTTGCAGTGCCTATTGCCAAACATCCAAAAATGTGCAGTGCTATATGGGGAGCTGGAAACCTGTAAAATCTATATCTCATGAATTTGTTTAGAAACCATGAAAGATTTATTCACTATCAGTCACCTATTGCAACAATACTGTGCACAGTTTACACTTTTCCAGACAATTTAGTATTATTAGATATGTTTATAAGTTTGTTTACAATAATTTTGGAGCCTTAAGTGTTGTACTGATAACTATGTAGTTACTCAAATGGTTTGTAACCAAGGGAAACAAATAATTGTAAATTTTTTATTAGGCAAATAAGTACTTAGCAAAAGTAAAAACCTAGTTTGTTTCTAATTAAACACAAAGCTACACAGTGCTATGTCACTGGGGAGGCTTACCTTTTCATCAGCAAAACTTAATTAGACACCACCTGCTGAATGAATCATTCAAAGAATAATTGTACTATCTTTTAAAGATTTAACACTGGGCAAAATAAAGTAAAATGGATATAAAATTATACTCATTACTGCAGAAGTCTATCTTTGAACTCCTGACTCAAAGTTAATCAAGATGACCGTAACTCCGGACATCCTCTGGTATACAAAGATTGTTTCTGAAAACTATCAGCCATTAGGGTTGTCTGAAATCATACACTGGGTGTGAATTATCTGTTGTAAGACAGCTAGACTTGTTGAATAGGAAGGAGACACTTCTTCAAATAGCCTAAATATAAAGTAAAACATCATAAAATGTCTGTGATTTGTTGGCAATAAATTTCAACAATAAACAAACAGCACACAGTCCACTTGTTTTAAAAATAATATATTAAAGCAAGTCAAATATATATATACAAATGTTTGTTACACTATTGATTATCACAGTTATATCCAGAGCTTAAAATAATTCTCTTTTTCATCAAAGTCCACACAGGCTGGTTCAGTTACATTAGAATGCAATTGAAAAGACAAGTTATTCTTCTCTGCTTTGTTATTACAATACAGTGTATGATAATTTCACTTTAAAAATCACCACTATCCACTCTTTATGGCTAAACTCACAACCACACAGTCTAGATCTACCTATCTATATCGAACTACATTTTGGATGTGTATTTATACCCTGACAGAGGTCTAGAATGTTCCAAACACTACTAGATATTATGATGAAATAATACTCAATTAAAACAAGAAAAACTTGGTAAGTTCTGGTAACATTACACAATAATATAACAATGTCCAATTCATAATTAGTGAACTACACAACATATGATTTGTAAACAGTTGCATAAACAAACTTGTGATGAACTATCGCTTCCAAAAAGATCTAAATTTCATTCTCACACTATATAAACTATCTAAATCATAACAATTGAATTAAACTTAAATTGAAACAGTCCTGTATATCTAAAATATTTACTAGGACTTGTATAAGTTACATACGGCTGCAGCCAGACTTCTGTTTTCACTTTCCAGTGCTTCCTACAACATACGAGTTTTGTTCATATGAATAGGCTAATGACTTAATACAAGTTAAGTGCAACATATTATTGATTTGTTAGACTATTACAAGATATAGATTAGTCTAGTAATGAAAATTGATTAGTGAATGTACACTTATAATTTAAATCATTAAAAGGCTGGCAGGAAAATGTGGATAAAGAATACTACTTCATAATCGGGGAAGGGGTTGCAGAATCAGTAGTGTTTGTTCTGCAATCAGAAAGTTCAGTGTTTCATACGTACCAGTGCCTGTCACAACACAAATTCAGGAAAGTAAGAGTTATGGTATTACAAACATAACACAGAGGCAATGTAAAAAAAGAAACTTTATAGTTTATTTGACACAACTGAGTAAAGTTAAACAAATTATATATTGTAACACAATGTAAAAAACAGATTTTACAGTTTACACTTCATCAGGAATGGATCCAGGGTTTAGTGGGGGTCCAACTAGTTATTTACTAGCAATATTTATAAATTCACATTAATGTTGCTGTAGGTCCACACCTGTTTATACAATATCAAAATAGTTAATTTATTTTAAAAATTTAAGTGGTTCAGATCCCCTTTCCTAGATCCTTGTTTCCTAATACAACAATAAAGAATAGTTATTAATTTCTGCAAAAAAACTGATTGGGGTCTAGACCCCATGCCCTAGAGCTGTGCCTGCTTATATACACCTGGAAAAAAGTTAAGCACCCCCAAATATTTTTCAGGATTGCTTATTGAAAATAAGGTTTAATTTTCATGATGTTGAGC